CTAGTCTTCCATGACAGCCACAGTGGATGTCTATGATACAACCAGATCAGAAGGGGCACTCAGAGACTTCCTTGATTATTTGGGACACCAGGGCAGAGCTGCCATCATTAACAAGAGAGTTATCTAACAATTGTAAAAAAATATTGGCATGTGTTCCATGCCAACAGGATTGCGCTATTAAAATTCCTCTGGATTTGCACTTAATAAAGTCAAAGGAATTGCCAAGACAATGAAAATAACTATACTCCGCAGACATATATGCTATATTGTTATGCAAATTGTGTATTTAACAATACATTACATATATTTTATATATTATATATATAATTTTTATATATATTTTATATAATTTATATAATATTTTTATTATATATTATATATATAAGATATTATATATATGTTATATACCTTATATATATATATTTGTTGAAGGCATTGAGCTAGTCTGTCACAGAGCTTAAACTCTTAAGTGTTTTCTGTGTTTTCTAGAAAAAGGACAACTGAAGTCGGTTTTAGGTAAGATTTGTCCAAATCGTTTTGCCTAGCAACTTGGTTTGATGGCACTCTTCAATGTGTTCAAGCAGCTAAAATTAGAAGCGAGAATAAACTGAATTACTAAAATTCTCAGGTGAAATACCTGACTTGGAAACATTAACTTTTCTCTGCTCAAAAAAAAGACTTTAAGGATTTTTGTTATGTGCTTAGTTGTAAAACAGTAACAGAAGTCATATTGGAATGACTTATATTTTGCAGAAGTGACACAAACTTAATGGTATTTATAGAATACCACATGAAAGTCCAGTCTGTAACTTCTCATTTCCATTTTATACCCTACGATCCTGTAACCTTATTTATTTTCTTCTTTTCTATGTGCTGGCTATCTTAGAGAGAGCAAAAGTTGCAAATAAAAGAGGTAAATTTCATTCTAATTAAAATTGAAATGAGGATGAATGAAATCTTGCCATCATGTAACATAAGCCATTCTATTTAATTACTTTTTTTAAAAAAATATTATTTTTTTAAATAAAAAATGAGATTACAGGTGACTACAACACAAAGAGGCCCAAGATATTTACCTTCCTCCTTTTATGCACGGAATATATTTTGCAACAAACCTACTAAGCTAGTCTACAGCCACTGGTTTTTGTTGTTTTTGTTTGTTTTTTGACATTTTTCTTCACGGCAAATTGCATGAAATTTGGAGATTATTGCTGACTGCTTTGCCCTATCTCCAAAGGAAATCTCACATGTCATGTCAAGTGATGACATGTGAAAAAATCACAACTTTTTACTATTTTCTAAACTCAGAATTCTGATAAACTCTTAACAGATCTGTGCAAAGACTAAAAACAGAACATATACTTGTTACTGATAAAAGGTTATAAGAAATTTTATCCTATTTTTATCCTAATAACAGAATTTTTTGCATACACACAAAGAATAGCTAAGAAAATAATTCCACAGTCATTCCTACAAACCTTACCTACTTTTTTTGTCCTCGTGTTTTTTCTTTACTCATCCAGTATATTCTTTTAACAGCAAAGTCTCTACTCAGAGAACGCTTTGGTAAGAAGAAATAAACTGTTATCTTACATTCTTGTCACCTTAGGCTGGTGTTTAGGTCTGCCTGTTCCATCCCTGAATCTCTAAGATTCTGTAAATTCCTTCAAAAAAAAATGTCCTGGCACTTTGGGTCTTGGCAACGTGTTTTTAATCCCTAATTTATAACAGAATTATAGACATAATTTTGTCATTGACACAGGAACACAGGCTAAGATAATTTAAATGGCACAAATAAAAATGTCTACAGGCAAAAATTGCAGTTCTCTGTCATCTTCCATGCTTTTTGTCTATTTTTTTTACTTTTTTGGTGGAATCTCAAAACGAGTGTCAGTGACTAGGACATCTCTACTTTTCAGATCAACTTAAACCGGAGTTGGGTAAGTAATTTAAAAAGGATGGGTTTTAGAACCCAGCTGGGAATTCAAATGCAGGTTGCATGCTGGGAAATGCTGGGAATTAGAAGTATTAGTGTATTAAGAGGAGGAAAAGCCCCCCAAAAAAGGCCAGAATCGAGGCAGAATACCCCAGTGATGGCACTTGCATTTCAATGGGCCAAAGCGGTTTAGTTTGAGGGGGATTTCACTGACTCAGATTCATAAAACAATGATTTTTTTGTTTTTTTTCCAGACTTCTGGGAAGCGCAGAGCCATGCAGGTAAGCTGAGAGGAGGACACATGAGAATTTGACATGTGAGCTTCCCACATATCAAAAAAATAGGTCCTCAATGGGCTTCATCTAAAGGAAATGAGGCTCAGATGAGGGTGTTGGGAAGTTATGGGTGTAAGTTGAAACCCAGGCAGCTCCATCTCCAGGTGAGGAGGAACTTCTGCACTGGGAGGGTGCCCGAGCCCTGGCCCAGGCTGCCCAGGGAGGCTGTGGAGTCTCCTTCTCTGGAGGTCTCCAAACCCACCTGGACGCCACCCTTTGCCCCATGCTGGGCACGGGTTGGAAGGGACCTCTGGAGATCACCAAGTCCAACCTTCCTGCTCCAGCAGGGACGCCCAGAGCACGGGGCACAGGGCGGCGTCCAGGTGGGTTTGGAGACCTCCAGAGAAGGAGACTCCCCAGCCTCCCTGGGCAGCCTGGGCCAGGGCTCGGGCACCCTCCCAGTGCAGAAGTTCCTCCTCACCTCGAGATGGAGCTGCCTGGGTTTCAACTTCCACCCATTGCCCCTTGTCCTGTCACCGGCCACCGCTGAGAAGAGCTTGGCCCCTTCCTCCCTACATTCCCCTTCATGAACTTCTCCATGTTGATGAGATCCCCTCTCAGCCTTCCCTTCTCCAAGGCCCAGCTCCCTCAGTGTCTCCTCATACGAGGGATGCTCCAGTCCCTTCATCACCTTGCTCACTCTCGCTGCCAACCTGCTTGGACCGTTCTCCTCCTCTCTTCTAGTCCCCATCACCGTGGATGCAGCCGGCGGAGACCTGGAGCTGCAGGTGCCTCCAGCGCCGGGCACGAGGAGCAGCGACCCCTCCGGAGCGGCCGACGCGCGCGCTCCCTCCGCTGTCCCCATCGCGCTGGCGCGGGACGGCTTCGCGGCGGGCAAGCGCTACTGGGAGGTGGAGGTGGCGCGGCGGCCGGACTGGGTGCTGGGGGTGGTGCGGGGCGGGCGCGAGCGGGGCGCCGTGCTGCCCGCGGGCGACTCCTGGGCTCTGCACAGCTCCCGCGGAGCGCTCTTCTGCGGCCGCGGAGACGCCGCCGTGGAGCCGCCGCCGCCGTCCTGCTCCGTGGTGGGCGTGCTGCTGGACCTGGAGGAGAGGCGCGTGAAGTTCTACGAGGCCGTGCACATGGTCCTCCTGGCCACCATCCCCGTTGGAGAGGGGGACGCGCACACGTTCTACCCGTTTGTGCCCAAAAGCGAAGGGTCGCTCGCTCCGCTCGTCTTCCGCCCGGTCAGGATTCCTTCTGCTTTGGAAAATCTGTGATGGGAGGCGCTGGATCTAGTGGATTGGGGAAGTAAAGAGTGCTCTGTCCACAAGAGGGAAAGAGAATAAAACCATTGCAGACATTAGAGGCTATAGTAACTATAGTTTATATTAACTATAAATTTATAGCAACTATAGTTTATATAAGCCTATAGTTACTATAGTTTATAGTAACTGTAAGTTTATAGTAACTATAGTTTATAGAAGGCTATAGTAACTATACTTTATAGTAACTATAAGTTTATAGTAACTGTACTTTATATAAGGTTATAGTAGTTTATATAAGGTTATAGTTTATAGTAACTAGAGTTAATATATAGTATATAGTATAGTTACTATATAGTATATAGTATAGTTGCTATATAGTAACTATATATTGCTACATAATACTATATATTACTATATAGCATATAGTATAGATACTATATTATATAGTTACTATATAATATAGTATATATAACTATAATAAGTTACTATATAATATATACTATATAATATATACTATATAATATATACTATATAATATATACTATATAATATATACTATATATTATATAGTAACTATAATAAGTTACTATATAATATAGTATATAGTAACTATAAACTCTAGGGAATAGGATCAGGGAATAACCCAGGAAAACTAGAAAACTGTGAAAAAGTGGAAGAAAGATTCAATGCCTACAATTAGAGCAAGAAAAAGAATTATTTTTCCTATTGTTTCTGTCTCAATGAAGACAGCAGGAGAAAAGATGTATGTAATGGGTAAAGCAAGGTGGAGGCTGCTGTTCGGTTGGCCAAGTGATGTGCTATCCATTGAAAAATATAGAAGTAAATAAATCAAATTTCAAAAGTGATATAATAAATAACTCTGGAAAATACAAAGCCTCCTTCATTGCTCCTTCTGAATGATCCAACAAGAACGGGTATGAACTAATGGGACATGGTTAGGTGACGTGGAGGGGAGAAGCTGAAGAGACCTGGATGGAAGTCCTCTAAGTTGAAGCAGCTCAATGTGTCTCTAGATTCTGACCATTAAAACAAGAAGTCGTCCCATTATTGTTCTCCCATTCATGTAGAAATGCTCCTCCTCCTCCCTCAACCAGTAAGTGATCTGGGCCAGTTTGTTCCTCTTACCGTTCTCCTATTAGTGGAGAATTGCTCCTCCTACCTCCGTCAGGAAATGATTCGGTCTATTTGATTTTCCTTCCTTTTTTTCAAAATCTTATAGCCGGGAGAACTCTTCTGACGGGTAAGCACACAAGGCTTGTTTCATGCTGGAGAGAACATATATATATATATACATTAAAAATGTCTTTTTGCTCAGGTAAATTGCATTAATTCCTAACAAGAGAGATCTTGAGATCAGTGCACTAAGAAGAGTGCAAGGGGCACCTTAGAATTATTAAAGGAGGAGCTCTTTAATAACAAATCCTCTGTATATTTGCATCAGTTAATCACAAAGTGTTCTGATATTTCACTGCAGATATATTTATTTTAATTCATTGTCCTATTATTTTGTTGAAAAAAGTAACACTCACTGCTTTGAAATGGTAAGCAGCTATAAAAGTATATAAGAGAAATATATAGCGTAATAAAATATAAGGGGTGGCAGATGAAGAGGAGGGATTTCTACACAACAGTGGCAGTGCAACATGCTTTTTGTTGATTTTTTTCCACTCGTTTGGAAACTTGAATGGTTGAAATGAACATGTTAATACTCTGTCCTTCTGGTGGGCTGCTATGGAAAGATCTCATGAGGGAGAGCTTTCTGATGGGAAGGATTTCTTCTGAACTGGTAATAAGAATAGGCATAATTATCTGTTTTTTAAGTAGTTGTGCCAAGGACTTATTGGGGTTGCAATAAGAATGGGGATAATTATCTGGTTTCATAAGTAGTTGTGCCAAGGACTTATTGGGGAAGCATTAAGCTTATTATTGGGGATTATTATTGGGGATCCCTTAAGCTGCCTCTCAGGTGATCACTGAAATACGCAGCATTTTTCTGTGCTACGTCTGCATTGCCTCCCTCTCATACTCTGCACACGGAGAGTAACTATCAGCTACGTTCAAGCCGTGGCGTACTCTACATGCCTTTCCTTACGTGCTAACAGTTACTCTGGTTTTATTGCCCCGCTTAACAGCAGTCCGTTGGTATCTTCTGCTCATAAAGGAGCAGAGTGCAAGCTTTCTGAAGGTTGTGGACTGCAGGTGCAGGCTGACGTAGCATAGAGATGTAGGGTGAGGCATGCCAAGGGTCACTTGATTGAGTGGTGTTGTAAGAGAAGGAAGACACTGCATGGAGGTAGGGAGCCCACTAAACGGGACCACATGCAGTAGAGCATGACTTGTAGGAAGGCTCCTGAGATAGGACCTTCAAAAGATTACAGGGCTATTGCTGGAGAGCAATAGCAGCCATTGCCTCTCTCTCAATCACCCATGGAGAAAGCAAATGGAGCGTCTTATTGTCCTGCACAGGACAATAACAGGTCCAGAACTTCTCTGGGATACCTGGTGCCTGTTGGAAACACCTCTTGGTGCCCATTAGCTATAAAGGAGGTTGGGAGAGCGAGCTCCTACGTGGCTAACATGAGACTGCAGTGCAGATGGTACCGTTGAGCTAGCCAACTTCCACTCTTGATATCTAACAGTTGTGTTATCAGTCCTGTCCTCTCCAGGACTCTGCTCCCCATCAGTTACACATTCAGGGCTATGCATATCGCCCATACGTGGCAAAGGTAGGTGGAGGTTTCTACGCCCACTTCCAGAATTTCTGTGTTCGCCAGGATTCCTTTGCTTCTGTTTTGTTCCTCTCATTTGGTTGTTCAATCTCTCAGCGTATTACCTACTTCCAGGAGGAACTTGGCCAATATGTCAGAAGATTCAAGGAAAGTGCGCGTCCTACAGCTCCCGTGCTCAAAAAGCCTGGACAGGAGGGTGCTGTTCTTTGGAATTCCAATATGTTTTTTAATCATCAAGTGGTTAACGGGTAAGAAACTCCCTAAAAAACCCCCCATTCACCTCAGCTACAGAATAGCTTCAAACATGTTGCCTAAATGTAGACATTCACATTTCTATTCTATTTTGTTTATTCTAAGATATCACGCCTGTACTTCGGTACATATTTCAGAAAGGGGCAGATCTCCTGTAGACCCTGCCTTGTGTCTGTTTTGTCTCCAAGCACAAGTCACAGAATGGCAGAATAGTTGAGACTGGAAGGGACCTCTAGAGATCATCTAGTCCATCTAGTCCAGTCCATCTAGTCCAGTCCAATCTAGTCCCCTTGCTCAAGCAGGGACACCTAGAGCATGTTGTACAGGTGCAAGTCTGGGACTACAACAGTCTTCTCAAATGATGAGAGATCCCACAACTCAGTGCTGTTCTGGGGTTTCACCTGTATCAGGGACATATCCTAGGTAAATTACCTTATTAACAACACATCAAAGAAGCAAGGACAACCTTGCATGAGTGTTGCAGCCATGGGCTGTTCAGAAGAAGCATCTAGGTACACGTGATTGCCATAGACCATCTCATGTACGGTAAACTGGTCAGAACTCAATGAACTTATAGTCCACTTAGTGTACTCATTGTCCTCCTCCTCTACATACTACTGCCCACAGTGGCTTACAACGCCTTGAAGGAGGGACATGTGAATATATAACACAACTGCTGCATATGAAATCTGGAAATTTGGGAAATCTAAGCATGGTCTATGCCTAGAGAACCAGCCAGCAATGATTCATGATCCCACACAGGTTACTGTGAGGACTGGGAGGCTGTAACTTAGAGCTCAGCCTTCTCTTTGGGCATCATCAAGCACACTTAGTGTTTCCAAGTTGTTCCCTCTATGGAAAGATGACATTTGCAGCGAACAACAACGTCTTGTCCCTTACCTCTTATTTGCAGGTGAAGCTCCCATCACCATCATCACCGTCAATGCTCCAGCTGTCCTTGTTGGAGGTCAAGCGACTCTGCAGTGCTGGCTGGATGACAGTGTCCACTCCAACACGAGCGTGCTTTGGTACAAAAAGGAAGAGGGGAAGAATATTACGCTGTGTTCTTCCTCCAGCCTGGGAGGGGTGGTAGAGCAGCACCACAATGACGAATGGAACAGGACAGAGGGACACTGGGAAGGAAGAACCCTTGTCTTGATAATCCGGCAAGTGCAAGTAGCAGATGAGGGCACGTATGTTTGTGTTGTGAGAGGAGATAACGGCTCACAGGAAGCTGCTGCGCACCTTGATATCACACGTAAGCAAGGAGATTCTCCCAGCGCAACGCGATCTGTTATGACTGAGGTCAACCCCTTTCATGATCCTTTGGGTCTGCCCATTCTTTGCTGGAGATTCACACCCTCTCTTGGGGATAGACGCGAGAGAAAAACATGGAAAGTTTGGATATAAGCAAAAGAAAAACATGGGAAGTTTTGTTTCGGCTCTGAAGAGTTGGGCGCTGCACAGGAAAAGGGCTCAATGGGGAACTGAATTAAGAATCTGAATATCCCTATTATTTACCATTCTAGAATCATGAGTGCTCCTCCCCAATGGTTAGAGCTATTTTGATTGGTATAAATAAAAATATTTGGGGATGGTATTTGCTAATAATCAGTGAGCATAATGACATGGTAAAGCTCCCTTTTCGCTCCTAGGTGGAAATCCCTAATCCCAAAACATCTATCCCAAATGCTAACATGGGAATTATCTCTTGCAGAAAGCAATTTATGGCAATAACTCTGATTTTGTTACAGAGGTGGGGAATAAACCATTTTTTCAAAAGAAGGAGCTAGAGGAGAACATGTGTCGGTACACATGCAAGTCAAAAGGATGGTACCCAAGGCCGAAAGTCCTTTGGAGGAATTACGGAGGAAAGACACTAGATGTGGAGGCCAACACCAACATCACCTGGAATGAGGAAGACCTCTTCGCAATACAGAGCAACATCACTGTGCCTTGTAATGACGTGGATGTGATGTGTGTTGTCATACTTCCCAAAACAAAGATAAACCAAACTGGTAGGTCGTATTTTTATACCTGCATTGTTGGGGGGGCTTAGACCCCTGCATTATTGCTAAAACATGTGAAATTGGGCAGTTCTCAGCGCTTTGTCTGAGGCTCCAGGCATCCTGCAGAATCTCTTCTTTAGGAGAATTGTGTTGTTGGGTCATGGAGGTTTGGGCTGCCCTTTTGCCATCTACAAGGGGTCCTCTTGCCCTCTTTTTCAGGTTCCATGAATGAAATGATTTTGCAAAAGTCAAGCACTTGTATGTACACAAGCAGAATAATAAGCTCCTATGTTAAGCCTCAAATTATTTGGGTAAACCCCCAAGGAGAAGACCTGTCTTCACTGGCCAAGACATACATTCTGCAGGAGGAGAACAATATTTTTGCCATAGAAAGCTCCATCCAGAAACCCTGTGAGCAGATGCCAGCTGCCTTGATGTCCACTGATACAAAATTTGGTCTACACCTTCTTGCTCAGAAGTCAGGTATGCAGCAATTAAGGACTATTTCAATCTAGCATTAATTGAGAAAAAAAAAAAAAGCTTTGTTATCACACAGATATCATTCTTCCCTGACAATAACAATATATTGATGGGCCTAATGCTGCGGGCTATTTGTCTCGTGGGCAGTAGACTCCTGAGATAACTGCATGCAAGCTCCATTCCCAGGATGGAACTCTGTTTTTCAGTGCTGTGGGAGAAAGATCTCTCCCAAATCTTTAAAATCTGGCAGCCATCATGTGGAAAATCATCAGACACAAAACAAAGATATAAAATGAAAGTATATATTGTACAGATTATGTTATTATTATTGTAGAATATACAGATTAAGCAATCCCACTGCTGCTCTGTGTATGTGTGAGCTACACTGAAAAAAAAAATCACTGTTTTTAATGCGTTCTTTCTCCATTGTTTCAGAATTAAGTGAATGGTTCTGGTTTGTTTACATCTTTTGTCACCTTATCTTAATAGGTAAGTCTGGGGGACCCCTTAATCCAGGTTTTCTTGCCGTGAACTTCCAATCTCACCATAATGCTGAGGGTTTAGCTCCTTGGAGTATTCCCGAAGGACTTAGGAATCCCAGGCCAGGAATGACTCATTCTTCCCCAAAACTCACAACTCAGACTAGGCACACCCAAAAACAGAAAGAGAAAACTCAGATAACTAACCGAGTTGTGCTCCTTTCCCTTGTGTAGTTGCAGAGAAGCAGCAGGAGAATGGTGAGTTTTCCCGGTTGCATCCACCTCTGTGTTGAACAATTCATGGGAGGAGGGACTCGTCTGTCATGTCTTGCGTTGCCCTGATTCCTTGTTTTCTTCTGCTCTTCTCCATGGTCCATCAACAGCACAACTTCAAGCAGATAAAGGTGAGCTGCTGCCATTGCGCTTTTGTTTTTCCCCACGGCATAGAGCAGAGCCCTTGCCAGTAAAAGCAGGACAAGGACAATAAGCCAACAAGCAGCATCTCTCCAACACCCATTTAGCCACCACCACTCCAAAACCCATTAGCCACCACAAAGTGTTCAAGGTTGGAAGGGACCTCTAGAGATCATCTAGTCCGACCTTCCTGCTCCACCAGGGACACCCAGAGCACGGGGCACAGGGTGGCGTCCATGTGGGTTTGGAGACCTCCAGAGAAGGAGACTCCCCAGCCTCCCTGGGCAGCCTGGTCCAGGGCTCGGGCACCCTCCCAGTGCAGAAGTTCCTCCTCACCTGGAGATGGAACCGCCTGGGTTTCAACTTCCACCCATTGCCCCTTGTCCTGTCCCTGGCCACCAAGAAGAGCTTGGCCCCTTCCTCCCTACATCCCCCTTCCTGAACTTCTCCATGTTGATGAGATCCCCTCTCAGCCTTCTCTTCTCCAAGGCCCAACTCACTCAGTCTCTCCTCACACAAGAGATATTCCAGTCCCTTCATCATCTTAGTCATTCTCCACCAGATCCTCTCTAGAGGCTCCACGTCCCTCTTATACTGGGGAGCCTGGAACTGCCCCCAGTGCTCCAGGTGCAGCCTCACCAGCGCTGAGTAGAGACACCACATTTAGTTCAGACCTAGGCCATGCCTCATTGGCCAACAAAGATGCTCCTAGGATCAAACTCTGCATTACTCACCCTTTTCTGCTTCATGGCCCATGTGGGGTGACTATAGCCTCTTGCTTTTGGCTTGGGGACTGTGCAGGAACAACCCCAGAGATGCCATGCATCATGTCTTTGTCTTTCAGCATGCCGTAATGACCTGATTGGTAAGTCACTGTGGGCAAAGGGTGGACACCTGGAAAGGGTATGAGCAAGCCAGTGATGCCAAGGTGCATTTAATGGGGATCATCCTCTTTTGGGGTGTCTGGCTGATAATCTACACCTGTGTGCACCTGGCAGCACCTGTGTGTTGTTCTCCTCTCAGTGGCATCCACTTCCAGCTGATTGCATTTCAGAAACCTATAATCCTTCCTACTAAGGGGTCAGGAAAAAACCTGTAGCCCAGGAAATCACGTAGCCCCTGTCAAAGCAAAGTAGTCCTCTTCCAGTTGGGAATAGCACGATGGAGGTCCTTGTGTGACAGGTGGAAAGGGGACCTGGGGTGGTTGTGGATGGAGCTGTGGATGGAACTGCAGGTTCCCTGTAGCCAGAGAGTGACAGGGTTGACGTGCATTGGTCTTCTGTGGCATGTGGGCCAACAATACGTAGCATGACGTGTGTCTCTTCCTGAGGACACACGTGAGTCAGTGTGTGAGGGACACATTGGGCACCCTCTAATAAGAAGGATATTAGGAGGCAGGAGACCTGCAGCCAATCATCCCATGGGCTCATCTGGGACACTGGATTTCCATGAGGACACTGTGCTAACCAGAATTTTTCTCCCGTTGTGCTGTTGCAGTGGAACTGCAGAAAGAGAATGGTGAGTTTTCCTACCTGGGACCATGTCTGGGAATACCACTTCCTTAGCTACTGCAATCACAGGGCTGTGGCAGGTCCTCCCTGGTCAGATGGTGGCAGAGTTGAAGGGCACTGGGTGTCTGTGGCATGTGCTCTGTGGGCAATAGCAGGTGGAGTGACAGGTATGGAGGCTACAGAAGCAGAGAGGTTCTGCAGCACTAGATGAGGTTGACTTCACCCTTGTAAGCCTGGAAGGTCCTTAGCGGGAGTAGCTGCATGGGATGGGAGCCATCTGATATACGAGAGAGTTTGTGTCCATGCCTGGTTGGAACAATTCATGGGAAGAGGAACTTGTCAGTAAGATCCTGGGCTCTCCTGACTTCTTGTTTTCTTCTGCTTATCTCCATGGTCACTTGGCAGACCACCTTCAAGCAGGCAAAGGTGAACTGGGCCCTTTCCCCTACTGCTTTACTCCATCCTACAGAGCCCTTGCACAGCGTGAGCAGAGACACAGGCAGCATGAATCCAAGACCCACAGAACCCACCAACACCGCCCAAAGCCCGGGCGATGCCCTGTTGGTCATCAGAAACACTCCTGCAAAGCAGGCTTTGTGTTTGCCCTCCTTGTTGTCCTCTGGGTTTGTGGGGCTTGACTTTGGCCACTTTCTTCTTCACTGGGGGACTATGCCAGAGCAACTGTGGAGATGTCCTGACTTACCTCCTTCCCTTTCAGAATACCGTGACCATGTGATTGGTAAGTGGGGTTGAGCAGGGTGCAGGTCTCCTCTTTTTGGTAAAAGTGTGGGCATCCTTGTTGGGCTGAGACACTTGTGGTGGGGTTCATCCTCCCCCTTGGGTTGCTTCGTTACTTCCCCCTCAGCCTTCTCTTTGAGATGCCCTCAATGCTTTGCCTTCTGCTCACCCACCCATGCTTGTCTTGCAGAAGAGCTGCGGGCCCGAGGGGAGGCCAGGAAGGATGTCGAGAAGGGTGAGTGCATGTTGGTCTGCACCCTGAGCATCTGCGTGCCCACAGGAGGCCATGGGCACGTGCTTGTGGGCCGTGTGGTKGGCAAAGCRTGCCTTGGAGAAGGCTCCACGAGCTGCATTGAGTAGGACCCCCATGAGTGTGGGGCATCAGGGGCACCGAGGTGCAAGTGTGGGGTGTCTCTGGGTGCTCTGAGTACTGGCAGGCAAGCAGCGTGCTTGGTCCCAAAGGAGGAGACGGTGCCGATGGACCCCTGTGTGTCCCTTGCTGAGGACACATGTGGGGCAGAGCAGGAGGCTCCACATGATGAAAGGGTGCCAGGAAGCACGCGAGCTGCTGCCAGTGCTCCCCTGGGCTCCTCTACTCCATCGGAGCCCTTGCTTCTCCAGTGTGCTCACCAAGATGTCCTCTCTTGCCCTTGTTCTGTTGCAGAGAAGCTGCGGGAGGAGATTGGTGAGTTCTCCTGTCTGAACGCAGGCTGGGTCTTCTTCCTGCAAGTGGGAGTGGAGGTGCAAAAGGGAGAGCGGAGGACAAGGCTGTGCTTGGAGGAACATCCATCCAAGGGTCCGTGTAGGGTGTGCGTGATAGTGACAGGTATGGAGGCTGCAGAAGCAGAGAGGTTCTGCAGCACTAGATGAGGTTGACTTCACCCTTGTAGCCTGGAAAGTCCTTAGGGGTAGGAGCTGCATGGGATGGGAGCCGTCTGATCCACGAGAAGCTTTGTGTCCATGTCTGGATGGAGCAATTCATGGCAAGGGGGACTTGTCAGGACCATCTTGGGCAGTCCTGACTTGTTTTCTTCTGCTTCTCTCCAYGGTCACTCTGCAGAACAACTCCAAGCAGACAAAGGTGAGTTGGCCCCTTTCCCCTTCCGCTTTCCCCTCTGTCTCCCTAAGGACACAGAACCACAGGACATAGTGTGAACAGAAACACCCCATAGGCACCATGCCACCACTGTTCACACGGCCACCACCAGTGCCAAAGACCCGAGCAATGCATCGTTGGTCAACAAAGATGCTCCTGCAAAGCAGGCTTTGCGATGCCCTCCTGTCTGCCCTTTGGACACCTCTTGGTTGCCTTTGGCCTCTTGTGTTGGGCTTGGGGCCTGTGCCAGAGGAGCTGTGAGGATGCCCTGAGTCATTGTGTTTGTCTTTCAGCTCTCCTTGAACGTGAGATGGGTAAGTCGAGTGGAGCAGGGTGTGGGTCTCCTTTCCTTGGAAAAGGTGTTGGGAGCTCCGTGGTAATGAGGTGCGTGTGGTGAGGATCATCCTTTGCTGGTCTGCTTGGCTACGTCTACTCACTTGCCCACCCTTGGCCGGTGATGATGCCTGTGGGTCTTTTTCCTCTTAGTGGCGCCCTCTTCAACGTGACTGCATTTGTGACGGGTCTTCGTCTTTTGTGATGGGTCTTCGTCTTTCGTGACGGGTCTTCGTCTTTCTTGACATGCTCTGGGGAAGGATCTGTGTCCCAGGAGGGCAAATGGCCTCTGTAAAGACAAAGCCCCATAAATCTGAGTATCGGTTGACCTGTTACTCTCTACAGTAATCTGACTTAATTCTGAGATTTCTGCCAGCTGCAGAATAACTTGAAGTTGGGGAATCTTTTCATTATTTATTTATTTATTTATTTATTTATTTATTTATTCCCCCCCAGAATTCAGAAAGGCTCGTGGCTATGCAGGTAAAAACAATACATTCGTTTATGTGAACTCAGTGGCTTGAAGGCTACCAGGGAAGCTGTGCGGTCCAGCACGTTGTTTTATTCCACCGATATGGAGATTCACTTTATCTCTGATTCAGTTAAAATTTTCACCTCCAAATCTTAAAATTCAGTCACTGTTAAAATAAGAAAAGTGATTAAGAAGTGTAGGTGTGTCTGTTGAGAGTAGTGTTTTGCTGTAACATTTCAATGTCTTTCAAAGAAAGACTAAATGTTAAAATTAGAGCTTTAAGTATTCTCAGTATTTAAAAAAAAATCAAAAAACCTTAACAATTCTAACATTCAGCAACTGAACCTCATTTCTGTAAGCAGCTTTTTTTTTTTTTTTTTTTCTTTCTATGTTTTTCATATTGAATACTGCAATTCTGGGGCAAAATGAAAAGACTTAACTTTTTGTAACCTCATGCCAGAAAACTCAGGAAAGACAGCAAATTTACTTAAAAAAAAAGTAGTGATTTGAGTTTGATGCAATTCTTCTTTAATGACTTTCATGGAGTCAGTGATTTAGGTATAGAGTTTTTTCTCTTCTTGAATATTTAGAGAAGTGATCATAAACTTTCCAATATCTACTTGTTGCAGATGACATCAAGTTGGATGTGGACACAGCCCACCCAAACTTGTCCTTTTCTGAGGACAGGAAGAGCTTCAAGCATGATCCACATTCTCAGAAAGTGCCTCACACTGAAAGGAGGTTTGATTCAGCTGTCTGTGTGTTGGGCTCGGAAGGTTTCTCCTCCGGGAACCACTACTGGGAGGTGGAAGTTGAAAAGAGCAACGACTGGGACCTTGGCGTGGCCAGAAGATCTGTCCAGAAGAAGGGAGTCATTTACTTGTCAGTAAAAGAAGGATTCTGGGTTATGGGGTCAAGTTTGAGGGATTATTGGGCCAGAACTGACCCTTGGACACGAGTCACGGTGCAGAGAAAGCCCAGGAAAATTGGAGTCTACCTGAGTTGTGAAGAGAAGCTTTTGACCTTTTTCAACGTGACCGACATGTCGGTGATGTTTACGTTTAAGGACTGTGCGTTCTCCGAGGAAGTGTATCCGTTCTTTAAAAACTCCCAGAAAGAGTCAACCATGAGAATCTGCTCCGTTGAAGAGAAATGAGGATTTTACACGTGGTAATTTTGCAGTGAAATGAAAAATCCGATGATATTATTTTCTTAGAAAAATGTAATAGCAATTTATGTATTTGATCATATCTTACGTTGCACTTTTTTGAATAATTTTTTTCCATTTTTGTATGTGTTTTGTACAATACATATACACTGTGTGAGCAGAAGAGAACACTGTCCCGTGCCACAGCTCTTTAAATGATCTGTTCCTCACAAGAAGAACTTCCTGGAGAGCCTGTGTCCTATAAAACGTTTCAATAACAGTCGTTCCCTGGGGTTTCATTCCAGCGTGTTTAGATGCAAAGCCCAAGGGAAGGTTTTAAAAGCCAAGCTCTCCACAAAGGTACCGCCTACAAATGTACCTACTTTCCCTCACTTTTCTGAGTGGAATTATCAGAGGTTTGGAAAGATGTCATGGATCACCGCATGCCTTGTCATGTCTGGCATGCAGACATTGTCTTCCCTTTGCTTTCATGAATCTCTTCTCTAGAAGTTGGTCATTTTTCTATGTCTGTGTTGCTTTGAGTCAAACACAGCTGGGGATGGGTCATGAGCTGTGTTTCCCAGGGGTCAGTGCTGGGAATGGTCCTCTTCAGTATCCTCATCAACCATGTGGATGAGGGGATTGAGTACACCCTCAGCAAACTGACAGACGACATCAAGCTGGGAGGAGGACTTGATCTGGTTGAGGGTAGGAAGGCTCTACAAAGGGATCTGAAGAGGCTGGATGAATGGGCTGAGGCCAACTCTATGAGGTTCAAGATTAAGTTGGAGGAACTACTTCACTGTGAGGGTGCCCGAGCCCTGGAACAGGTTGCCCAGGGAGGCTGTGGAGTCTCCTTCTCTGGAGGTCTCCAAACCCACCTGGATGCCACTCTAGGTGTCCCTGCTGGAGCAGCAAGGTTGGACTAGATGATCTCTAGAGGTTCCTCCCAACCTCAACCATTCTGTGATTCCCTGAAGTTCCAGGTCCTGCACTTGGGTCACAACAACTCCATGCAGAGCTACAGGCTTGGGACACAGTGGATGGAGAGCTGCACAGCAGAAATGATCTAGAGGTGTTGATCAACAAGCAGCTGTACGCGACTCATAACCCCAGTATGCCCAGATACAATTTAGAATTAGATTAAAAAGAAATGTACACAATTTAGAAATTAAATTTTCATCACAGGTTCCTCAATTTGTATAACATTTGTTGACATTAACGTTCTTCCTAGTAAGTCAGATCTATGGATTTATTGAGCAAAGGGAATACATAATAAATGTAAAAAAAAAAAAAATACATGTAAACAAATTCATGCTCCTTTTGTCCAGGCAAAATACGTCATATGAAATATCAGGATTTTTACAAAATCAATTCTCAGCAGGAGATGAAGACCTTCGAGGACCTTGAGAAAATACTTCTTTCTCAGGCACAGTTTTAAGCAGGCTAAGATCATTTTTTTTCTTCTCCTCTCTATGTCCTCTGTGATGTTATCAATATATTAATTAATATATTGTTATCAATATATTAATCTCGTCTTGGTCACGTGAAAGCTTTAGGCAATGGCTCGGGAATGGTGACAGGCCGTATCCCCAGCCACTTGTCATCAGGGCCTGGATTAAAGAAAGGATAAAACTTCCCAGAAAAATCATCACGGATAGACCCAAGAAGACCCTTTTCATCAACATTATAGAACGAAAGTGTCTTTTCCTCCAGATCCAGGGCAACGCCAACGACAGGACAACGCTCTGAAATTCCTAGATCCTTTCCATCGCTTAGAATATATTTTCCCTGGCAAAAACGGAGACTGAAGCCTAACGGATCCGAATTACTCTTCTTCAGGCTATCCCGAACCTTCTCACTCAGCACTCCCAGCTCCCACTCCGGTTTGTCCCCCACTTCCACTTCCCAGTAATGGGTTTCCTTCGAGAACCCTTCGTTTGCTACGGCGACCAATTTGCTGTGGGCATCCTTCTGAATGCAGCACTTGACTCTATTTTTGTCCTTAAAGACGAGGTTTCCTGTCTTGCACGTCTCGTCCAAGGTGATATTAACTTCGGAAAGAAAAAAGAAACACACAAAGCAAGTGATATTTCTGATTATCAAGAAAAATAAACAAGAATCTGAAAGGAAGTGCCTAAAGGAAAGAAATTGCGAAATAAAAATTTAAATTGGAACACATAGTGTGACCCATTGGGACAAAAAAATCAGGAGGGGAAATAATTTCAAGCCACTACAGCAAGGAAGGAGGTAGTTAATTAATTGAGGTAGGTAATTAATTGCCATTACCCTTTTTTTCTGGTTTCACAGTGATTTATGAAATCATTATTAGGCTTATCAGGCTGATTATCAGGCTGAGAGAATTCAGACTTTCTGGTCAGACCTATCTGACAAGTTTTGTTTTGTTTTATTATTTTATTTTATTTTATTTTATTTTATTTTATTTTATTTTATTTTATTTTATTTTATTTTATTTTACTTTACTTTATTTTACTTTACTTTATTTTACTTTATTTTACTTTATTTTTAAATGAAACACAAAGCTGAAGCATCCGTTCCAACCCTGAACATCTGAAGTTATTTTAAAATGTCCCAGTTGGCACAGAAGTGAATCAACTTTGCTTACCTGCTCTGCTACGAGCTCTCCTGAATTCTGCAAGAAAATAAATTAATGATTAATTCCAACAGTACATATTCTACCGTATTTTGGAGCAGTATGTGTGTTACAGAATTATAGATTTGATAAAATTAATTTCAAGTTTTCAACTTACCCAGTTCATTCCTGGCTTTTTCTGAAATGTAAAGAAAATCACATTATATCCAAAGAAAATTTCCAAAGAAAATGATGGTCCTTCTTACAGCTATAGCTGTTCTGGACACTGAGATTGGGTTGGAAAAACTCTTTTCTAGTAAGAATGAAATATAAGAATGAGGAAAAGTGAAAAACCACAGCGATCTCCAGACGGTGGCACTGTTTATTTCCAAAGTGCTATTTCTGATCACTGATTCTTCTTATAGAAACAATTTAAAGAATTTTGAAGGACCTTCAAGTTTAAATTAATTTTCTTACCAACTTTATTCTCTGCTTCTTTAATTTCTACAAATAAACAGAATGAAAAATGAAAAGTTAGGATGATGAAAAGGGTTGAATTATGCAACAATCATACGATACAGAATTAATTTAATCATGTTTCTCTCAAGAAATATAGACATGAATTATGTAAGTTTTCTTTCATATTAAATAAGGTATTGGATGAATGCTGTCTGAGCTGAAGAAATGGAATAAACAAACAAACAGAATTATCAGAAACAGTCAGGAAGTGATTTAGAACAAGCCCTGAATGTTCTAAGGGCACAATAATTTCAATTTTAATCAATTTTTCAATAATGTTCAATTTTAATCTACATAATATAAATTTGGAAAAGCTTTTCCTAATTTAAGTACTGACAATTGCACAAAATATTGTTCTTTTCTTAAATTCATGACCTACTAAGCATGTTTTACATTAGGACTTAAAGCACGATATGCAGCACAAAATGCAAAATAGTAAAAATATGGCACTTTACCCTTGTCTGATTTGATCTGCTCCTCAACTGAAAAACAAATCAATTAAAAAAAGAAAAGCAATACAGTAAAACGCTACATTTTCAAGGCCAAAACCCACAAAACAGGACAGAGAATTATAATCTAAAAGAATGTGCTCATACAGGGAAATTGGGATTAACATTAAATTCAGAATATAGTTTAAGGTTAAACACACAACCAGGTCTTCAAAATTGATAAGACAATTTGCCCTCTTGAAAACTGTATCTTATTCCATTTAATTTGAAGGGAATCTACATGATTAGGTAAGGCTAGGTGTGTACATTGGTACCTGGAGTTATTATCCTCAATGTAATTGGAACAATTATAATTTCAAACAATTACATATCAATGTAATTGAAACATATATACACAGATATATATAGCATGCAGCATATAATATAATGTAATGTAATGTAATGTAATGTAATGTAATGTAATGTAATGTAATGTAATATAATATAATATAATATAATATAATATAATATAATATACACACATATTATATATGTGTGTATATTATTATATTTCTGAAAGAAATTAGGTTTGTATATTCTATTCTAATAATTCTAATATACACACATATTATATATATACACACATATTATATATATACACACATATTATATTATATATGTGTGTAGATTAGAAATTAGAAATATGTGTGTATATTAGAATTATTAGAATAGAATTAGAATTATTAGAATAGAAGGAGCTTTCCAGTGTGACCACTCTGCTGTAATACTGTAATTTTTGGACTTACAAAAACTTCTTCCACCCAAAGAATACTCAAATTTAATATAAAAAAGTCAAAACACAGTCATACCTATCCGCTCGTTGAGCTGCGATATTTCTGAAAGAAACTAGGTTTGTATAGTTAAAAAGCAATTTTTTTTTAATCTGTAATTTGAAAAAATCACAACTATTTCAATCAGGACATTTCAAATTTGTTAGCTGTTATTACATGTTTAAATCTATTATCTAACATGGCCTTATAGGTGGTGTAATAATGTTTCCCCATGACACCTTTAGAGCTATCAGAAAAATTTCAGAAGAATTTACTAAGCCTCTGTCATTCCTTGCATGCAAGGAATATATATTTTATATCCTTATAAAGATATTGAAAGCTTATTCTTTTTAAGAATCAAGTGTTTTATTCTTTATTTTTTAAAATCTTTTATTGCTATCAATCTAAAATCCAGTGTGGACCATGATCCCAAATTAAGAACACATTAATTCATCTCAATTAGCTGATTGAACCATTTTCAAGACCAAATATTGAGCAAATAAATACCAGCCATAAATCAAAATTATTCATGCAATGAATTGTCTTCATTTTCTCTAAACAACCACCATAAAAAATGTTTAAATAAAAAAAAATTTCAACAAAAAAGTAAGCACTGATATTTCCTGAATTCATCTTTCATCCGGATGAGAAAGATTTATTGATAGAAATTATTGTAAAAAAGCTGCTTTACTTACCTTTTTCAAGTTCAGATTTTGCATTTACTGTGAATAGGGGAAAATATGTTATAATCCTAAAGAAAATTCTTAAAATAGTACCATTTTTTAGATTATACAAAAAGACTATACTTTGTGACACCCAGCTTTATTTTCTTTGAAGTTCCAAATTCAAAGAAATTCAGGGACCAACATCTAAATTTATAATTTGTGGATGATTTATTATATCCTGAGTTTTATTTCACATGTAATAGTAAATATTTTAACAGCAAATTTCTGAGTTATTTCTTGGCTGGCAGCTTATCCCATATAGTACGGCAAAAGAGTATTTTCTGTCCTTTAGGATGTTTTTGCTTAAAACACCGTCCAATAGGTAGCATAAAATGCCATCCATTAGCTTTACACTGCACCACTTACGTACAAAAAATAAATGAATAAATAAAAATAATTTAAATTTAAAATAAAATAAAATAAAATAAAATAAAATAAAATAAAATAAAATAAAATAAAATAAAATAAAATAAAATAAAATAAAAAATAAAAAATAAAATAAAATAATTTAAAAGACTGAAAATAACCATACAGTATATATTTAGCAAGCGGAAAACTTAGATTCTAAGTTTGCAAGACGAACCTTTAGCTCAAAGGGCTTAAAATCCTTATACAAAATCCTTATCCCATATTCTATACAATATAAAGGGCTAACACTGTTTAAATTGGGACATATCCTTCAAAATGCTGAAATATGGTATTTATTAGAACTTACATGCACGAGCCATTGTCTTATTGTTCTCTGAGAAAGAGGAAGGAAGGAGGGGAAAAGGGAAGAGAAAACGGAAATATGTTATTTTTCTTTCTTTCTTTCTTTCTTTCTTTCTTTCTTTCTTTCTTTCTTTCTTTCTTTCTTTCTTTCTTTCTTTCTTTCTGGTTTTTGAATGAAGCTTTTCATGCTTCTTCAGGGTTGTGGATCATATTTGATGAAGGACAATGTATTTCCAAAATATCTTGGGGTACATGTACTTAAACCTACCATCAAAATTTTACCAAGAAAAACATGACAAATCACACAGAATTTAATAACTTAATCTATTGACATTGAAAGCAGAGAAAATGCAGACTTTATATGCTCATTTGACAGAAATTACTTGCTTGTGGAATCATGTCAATTAGAAACTAGTTTATAAAACAATAAAAGTTATTGTATATATTATAAATATATATAAATATTATATTATAAAATAATTTATATTTGCATACAGGCATATGATTCAGTTATTTGCTTGAATTAATTTATTTCATTAATGAGGTTAAGTGACACCATAGCAATGCATACGATACAGGTGTATGCCTCAAGATACTGAAATAGTTAGCAGACGCTTAAAAATTTAAATTTACCAAATTTAAATTAACAAAAACAGAGCTGAAGAATCACAGCTTGTTCAGAACCTGGGACCTTTCCCAGATAATTTCACATAGAAAATTTTAGACATAATGAGGTAAACTTTAAGTCGGACTATGCTAAGGATTCAGTCCGGAATTAAGAGTGGAACTTACTTCGGAGCTTATAGGTCGCAGCAATAACCAGCAATATGCTCAAGAGGAGGATCACCACAAAAGCAGCCAGCCAAGGGGAGGTGGCAGGAAAGAAAACATCTGCAAATTATTCACACGAGCAATTAGAAATTTCCCTGCAAAATCAAATTTGGGCATGTCTTGAGATTCACTTGGGTAAGAAATAACAATTTCTGCAAGCATTGGGGTGATCAGTATTTCTGTCCATCTTTGATGTGCACTTTTAAGAGGAAGATGGCCAATTTTAGCAAGGTAAGAACTCAATACAAGGATGGAAAAACAGCTTTGAGTGTGTCAAGATGCAGAACAAAAAACTTTATTTGCTCTGCTTCCCATCCTCCCAAAATATCAGTAAACATTTGTCATTTTTTTGTCAAAAATTGCAAACAAATGCAATTGCAAAAGTAGGAATTTCACACAGCAGAATTTGCAAAAAAAACTGCAACAGAATTTTTGCAAACAAAAGTAAAAGTAGGAATTTCATGCAACAGAATTTGCAAAAAAACTTGCAACAGATTTTTTTGCAAAAAAAGGCAAAAGTAGGAATTTCACGCAACAGAATCTGAATCATCCTCACCTGCAATGACAACTGAAGACTCTGTTGACGTTTTCAGCGTTTTATCAATTATTTTGCAGGACACCGAATTTCCAGATTCTGGTTGTAGAAGCAGGGAGCTGCTGGCATCAGCGTTGCTGGCGCCAGCGTTGAGCGGCGTTCCGGTGAAATTTTCCCCTTTACTGTCTGTCCACAGCATGTGAACTTCAGAAAAGAGCCTCTCGGAAGAGCATTTGAGTCTGATGCCGTTGCCCTCATAATCATCCAGGACGATCAGAGGACTGTGGCCACGACCTGCAGGAGTGAGAGACGGACGGGTTAGCTGGGCTTGCTGCTTTTAAACACAAGGGAAATAAGTCAACGAGAAGTTTTGCAATTATCCGTGTTTTCCCGTGGAAGCTACAACTTGCAAACAGCTCCTCACACCAAAAAAATAAAAATTAAAATTAAAAATTAGAAACTAAAAACTAAAATTAAAAATTAGAAACTAAAAGTTAAAAATTAGAAACTAAAAATTAAAATTAGAAACTAAAAATTAAAAAAGAAACTAAAACTAAAAATTAAAAACTAAAAACTAAAAATTAAAAATTAAAAATTAAAAATTAAAAATTAAAAATTAAAAATTAAAAAAAGGAGGAAATGGAATTCCCTAGAGAGTGTTTCATTCCCTCTTAAGATTAATGAGGAGCATCTGAAAATGCTGGTCTTTTTGAATTAATTATATGGGTAGCTTAGATAAGCAGCTAGGATTCAAATGCCCGGGTTTCATATCTCTCGTTGGGCATCTCAAATCCCCAGATATTCATCTATATTCACTGAAATCCACATAAATTAATGATTTAAGTCCGGGCCTACACTTTTAATTGAGAAGAAGCCGGTGAACATTGGGAGGTATCAATTAAAATATATTCATGCTTTTAGAAATAGTTTAGAAATAAATAGTTTAGAAAAAAAATAGTTTAGAAAAAAAATTTAGAAATAAATAGAATAGGAAAAAATAGAAATAAAGAGTTAAATTAATCTATTAAAGGGCAAAATTACCTGCAGTGGGGTGGTGTGTAGATACCAAGATGAAGATGACTGCTGTCAACTGGAGCAAGAGCCCCATACCAATCCGTGAAGTGAATCACAAGGACGCCCTGGATTCAAACCCCACAAATATAGATTCTGCTGTAAGAGTAAAGATGGAATGGGAGCAAAATAAACATGTTAAAAGAAATCTTATGTTTTTATGCGTACATGGAAACTTGTCAGATGGAAGAAAAAAGCAGCCTCAAATTGTGCCTCCTTCCTTCCTACAGTTGCCAAATACAAATACTGGCCAAAAAATAAAAATAAAATTATAGAACAAAACCACGAAAATGAAAATAAAGAGCAATTCTTAAATTTCCTGCTAGATACTGTGTGGTGACCCCACGTTGCTGCAGAGCTGGCGTTGAAACCACAGCAGCGAACCCCCTAAGCAGGAAGAAAGTCCTTGCCCGTTGAGCACAAGAGCTCCACGCCTAGATGAGAAGATGGAAGGGCAACAGAAATGAAAGCAAAACCTGATATATGAGTCAAGAGACACCAATTGAAACGGGAGGTGCCACCTGAATTTGGGGAAGAACTTCTTGATTATGAGGTGCATGAGAGCAGGCTGTCCAACGAGGGGTAAAGTCTTCTGCTCTGGTGGTATTCCTGCCTGGATGCAATCCTGTGCAACGTGCCTTAGGTGAGCACGCTCGTGCAAGGGATTTGGGGAGGATGATTTCCAAAGGTCCCTCCCCAACTCTGACGTTCTGTAATGCTGTGATTCGGGACCCATCCTGAGGTGCCTGGAGATATCTCAGCATGCTTGAGGATTGTGTGTCTCTCCCAAGAAGACACTCAGACAAAAACATACACAAAACTGAGATTACAGCATTTCCAGAGACAAAATCACAGAGGCAACCTAAAAACCTGGAGTTTTTTTCAGAACAATACCCCAGACATCTGCCAATCACCACAAAACCACAACACAAAGACTCCATAGAGGTGTAAGAGGAAGACACCAGCTCGGTTGTTGTCTTACACCAACGGAGGTGTAAGAAAGCCTTTCAAACTCTTCTCTTCTGGCACAACCGAATGATTTTTCTAGCAAAAAAAATATCCACCAACCTGTAGATTATCCGCACGACCCTGGACTTCTAGAAATGCAGTTGCAGGAAATCCTTGACCATGCACATGGACTGGTGGAACCTTTGAACCCTACCAGCCACTGGTTTGATAGTAATAAAGCTGCTCCTTTGAGTTCCTCGAGTTATCTATTAACAGGGTAATGCAACAGGACAATCATTAGACCTCTCCGAGTGGGGAAGAAAGAAGGGCTGTGGATTTACGCTATTCATGGCCAAGTACTTTGCCAAAAGAAAGGTCTAAAAATGATTACTGAAGATCTTAAGTACTTAGCAAAGAGGAAACACAGAATATAGGGAAAGAGGCAAAGCACAAGCAAATCAAGCAGGTAAAAAAGGAGTAGGAATAAAGGTGTCTATAGCCAAACCTTAATTGCTTAAATTACACACAATTGCTTAAAATCACACACAAAATTTCAAGGGAGTATGGAAGCTTTATTGATGTTTGGTGATGTTTGCTTTCCAGTGGGAATGATTTGCTTGGCTTGGTTTTCCATCAGTGCAATTACATCTGAGTCTGCAGCTCCTCCAAGGGATGAGAGGACAGTTTTGCCAAGCCATGGATCCAGTCCCGTCGCATCGGTCTTCTGTGACGTCCTTCCCCTTTACCCTTCCAGTTGAGTCTTGACGGTCCATTTCCAAGGTCAACGTGGTCTTGGGGGCCAATGAGGCTCTCATGATTCTTCCAGCTCCTCCAAGTTCGTGTTAACTGCCAAGAAAGGGAACACAGTAAAGCAAGATCTGCCCTCAGGAATATTCTGACACGAGAATTGAGGTACAAGTGTACTCTGCTCCCAAAGAAGGTCTTTGAGTCAGATCATACCAATATGATTGCGTTGGTTGACAAAGGGAGGCTTGCTATCCACAAAACTCCCTTCTCGGGATTTTCCCTGCAGGACTTATCTCAATTATCTGCCCTCCTAAGCAGATAATCCATTCTCTGCATGGCTCCTTCCTGCACCATTTTCTATGTCTCGATCAGCGTGGTTCTGTGAGGAAAGCTCCTCTGTGATTTCCTTTGTGTCCCCTGTAGTCCATCGTCCTGGACCTGCCAAAACCATTCTCACAACACTTCAGGTGCTTCAGTAACCAGCAATTACCTGCACAAATCACACTGGCATCTTCTCCATGGTAGCAATTGTGTTCACCCCACGGCCTGGCGGGGCAGTCGAAGATGCTGTCCTCCGTCCCCGTGCAGTTCACGTCGTCCAGCCAGATGATGTCCGACCCTCGTCCGAAGCGAGCAGCTCCCGGCGCCGACAGCGGCGACCCACAGCCAACCTGCTTGCACACTGCCTTGGCGTCCTTCACGTCCCAGTCGTCATCGCACACGGTGCCCCACTGCTTGTCATGGAGCACTTCAACTCTCCCGGCACACCTGTTTGGGCCGTCCACCAGCCGGACTGGTCCCAGTTCAGGGACATCTACATCTGAACAGATCCCAAGAAAAGATCCCAAGAAAAGAAAGGCTTAGAGAGCTTCATATGTGTCCCTTCCCTGGAAAATATGAGCAGCCAGGGGAGGCTTTGCTGTCTCTCCTAAAAATGTGCCAAAGATTCATTTTCATTGCATCCAGCTTTCTCCAGAGAGGGAAAGCAGGCAGAAATCCAAGAGTGAGAGAAAGGGCAGGTCTAAACATTCTCCATTTTCATGCATGGCGCTCCATTTTCATGCATGGCGATGGGCTCTGTTGGGTGACTGGTTCAAGGAGTGTGTTGATGACAATTACGCCTGAGGGAACCACCGTGGTCTCAGGTAGGAGAAGACTGAATGCTGCTCTAGGCATGGCACCACTTCCAAAACTGCTGCTTACCACTGCTCTGTGTCCTGAACCAGAGAATCATGGAATCATAGACACAGAAAGTCTTGCTTTCTATATGTCTTGGGGTCACCCCTCATTTGAACACGGAGTGTGTATATGGTAGGATTCGACCACTCAATTCCCCAACATGTGGACCATGGAGAGGTTACCTGAGCACTCCACGCTGGCGTCTTCCACGTGGTTGCAGGTATTTTCTCCCAAAGGCTTCGCCTCGCATTCGGTGAGGGCCGCCTCTGTCCCCGTGCAGTTCAGGTCGCTCAACCAGATCCTGCCTTTCCCTTCTCCGTATTTGGAATTTTGGGGGGCTGACAGCGCCGTCCCGCAGCCCAGCTGCTTGCACACGATGCCTGCCTCCCGCAGATCCCAGCCGTCGTCACACACGGTTCCCCAGACGTTCTTGTGCAGTACCTCCACTCTCCCGGAGCAGCGGCTGGGGCCGTCCACGAGGCGGACAGAAGTGGACACGGTAATCCCGGAGTCTGCAGACAGAGCCAGAGAGGAGATATCCAGGAAGACACAAGGTCGTGCAATGGCATGGTTGTAGTTCTCCTGTTTTACACCGCTCTCCTGGACAATTCCTAGCACCCCGCACGCTGCATTGTCCCATGCAGAGCTTTCTCTCCATCAGAAATGCAGCTGTCTCAGTGATGGACATAATATCAGTCTTTACCCAACACACAGGGAAATAAAACAGGTAGATATCATGTCCAGGGCTAGTTGTCCTGTTTTTAAACAAATTAATTATCTAGTAAACGAGCCAGGGCACAGAGAGCGTTAAGTCCTGAGTTTGATAAAATGACTTGTTAGTCACCATAAAGGATGGACCCTAAGTCTGATCTGGAAAAAGAAATGCCACAGAGCATCTCTGTGGACCGAGAGGAGAAAGTCTTCCAGACCCAAGAAGTACAAGGAGCCCAAACCACTGTCAGGAACCACCTCTGGTTTGAACGAACACCCACCAGCTTGCACGAACTCACGAGATGAAAGGCCAAGTTTAAAGCCTTATTCCCTTCCAGAACTATTTGTGAGGACGTCTCAACCTGTGGCTAGCAGAACACGGAGAACACAAATATTACCTGAGCAAATGGCACCGGCATCTTCCCCGTGGTAACAATTGTGTTCCCCCCAGGGCCTCGCCTGGCATTCGGAGATGGTATTTTCTGTCCCATTGCAGTTGACGTCATCCAGCCAGATAGTGTCGATTCCTCGCCCAAATTTAGCTCCGACGGGGGCCAGCACCGCATCCCCGCACCCCAGCTGCCGGCACACCACTTGGGCATCGTCCATATCCCAGCGGTCGTGGCACACGGTGCCCCACTGCTCTTCGTGGAGCACCTCAACTCTGCCAGCACATCTGTTTGGGCCGCCCACCAGCCGGATTGGCCCTGGCTCAGCTACTTCATTTTCTGGGAAAAAAAATAAAACAAATCAAGGGTGAAATAAATTTGAAAAGGGTTTCAGTGAAACTGGTATCACGAGGGGAGCAGAGTCTCTTAGGATGCAGCAAAGTTGTCCACTTCCCAACTGACTGTCAAGGGTTGGGAGCAAGGGATGTCAAGGACATCCTTCCCAACTTTTGACATAACGAAGATTGAAGGAAGCATGGCAACGTGGAGGCTGTGGGGAGTGAAAGGGCACTGTCTTGGTCCACTCCCAGCGCTGTAGCTTGTTTCAGCTCAGCGAATTACGATGCAACTCATTTGGGTAAGAAAGTGGATCCCAACAGGGTCTATTTGCATCCCTAGAAGTTGCACCATGGGCCACCTTGAGGCAAAAGGGCCAGGGTGGCCCAAAACAAGAAATATTTGGAGCTTACCCGAGCACTCCACACTGGCGTCTTCCACGTGGTTGCAGACGTTCTCTCCTAACGGCTTTGCCTCACATTCAGCAAGGGAAGCTTCTCTCCCCGTGCAGTTGAGCTCGCTCAACCAGACTTTGCCCTTCCCTTCTCCATATCTGGACTCTCGAGGAGCTGACAGCGCTGTCCCACAGCCCAGCTGCCTGCAGACCACCTTTGCTTCCCTCAGGTCCCAGCCGTCGTCGCACACGGTCCCCCAGGTATCCTTGTGAAGCACCTCGACTCGCCCAGAGCACTTATTGGGACCATCCACCAGGCGGACCTCTAATTTATCCGTGTCTACATCTTCTGGAGAAAAAAAAAGGAAAAAAAAGACACCTTAGGGTGCCAAGAGGGAAAGGGAAAAGAGTGTTCGTCCTCCACACAAAGACCTGGCTGCCCAAATCATGGCCAAATCCTGAGGAACAAGAGCCTGGGGTACTGTAAAAACCAGGGTACTGTAAAGTATTTTTTCTCTTTGCATAGGGTTTTTGCTTTTGCATGGATGTGAAGTAAAAGTAATGTAGAGATTGAAAATACCAGGTCCCCAAAACCTGAAATAACTCCATAGTGGCTCAGGAAGGAGACAAGGGGACACCGGACACTTCGCCTCTTGATGATAAGACTCTAGTCATGTTCCTACAACATGTTCCTACCACGTGTACCTAGTTCCGTTTTAGCTTTGCTAAAATTAATTAATTAATCAATTAATTAATTAATGAAAGCATCTGTCTTAAATGTTCCCTTCATCCAGAGACCTCCAATATGGAACCAACTGCACCTCAAAAACTACACAGGAGGTAGGGTCGGTTCTTCTCTGTTGGCTGAGAATACGGTACGTACAGGAGCAAGATCTGCATCAAAATCTCTTAATTCTGAGCACTATGCTTAATCTCTGGTTGGGTGTAGCATTAATCTGCAGGACCTTTTATGAGGTAGGCTGACTTGTGCTCCGCTCTGTGCCGCAAATACTGACCTGCCAGGAGGACACCAGCAAAGGAAGCTGAAATATATAAAAAAAAAATAGGTCGTTAGTGTCTATCTGATAAAACTTGTCTATCTTGTGTAAAACTTGGAATTTCAGGATATCAGAGCGTCAGGCAAGAGACACGATGTTGTTAGAGCCTGTGGCTGTTCTCATTCTCCCAAGTCCAGCTCTCCATGGGTTCTCCATACCTTCGAACCCTAGAACTTTCTTGATAAAGTGATCAGATAGCGAGAAAAAATAAAACAAAAGAGAAGTATGTTGGGGAAAAAAACCTTTGAAATTTGAAAATACCTTAATAGATCAGTTAGGATTCTTCTCACCCATATTCAATCATCTAAAACTCAGTTTCCAAACTGAATTAGTTATCTATGCTTGAGTTCTTTGACTTATCTCACCCTTGGTCAGTGTCCAGCAGAAGATTGAGTTGCTTGCTGGAGGTTTTTATCTCTCCCTAGAGACTTTGATTTAACACGCAACTCTTAGCCAAAAAAATAAGAAAAAAGAATACGAAAACAGATAAGAAGACATACTGGATAAACGACTGAAAGTGTGATAAGTTGTTAACAGCTCAGCATTCCTTTTTCCTGCCTGTTGGTGCCAGGTCTTGAAGAAGCATGGTGATTTCTGAACAAGGAGACACTGCACACACCCCAGGTGCAGGGCCGACATGGGAGACATCATTGGTATCAGTGAAATCCCAAAGGAACAATCCTGGGCCTCCTAATAGGGGTAGGCAAGGAAGTGTCTTCATGGTAGAATGTATCTGGAGAATGTTTCTGTTCAGATGTTTCTGCTGGGATTAAAAAGAGGCTGAGGCAAAACTAGAAGCTGAACTTGGAAAGCCTGATGGAAAACGTCCCAGAATCTGTTTGTCTTGAAGGCCCACGAAAAGGGGACTCTGTACCGCTGTATAAGGTCAGCATCAAAGAAGGTTTCAACACCAAACTTCTCCTCAGTGTAGCAGTCTGGCAAAGTCCTGGTCATTGACCAAAAAGTGACCAAAGTCTTGGTCATTGACCAAAAGTTGGTCATTGGCCAACAGCTTTGGGCAAAGGAAGAGCTGCTGGCACCAGAAAGGTCGTCAGCATTATTGCCCAGGTAAATCTCTCTTCCACACGCTATTTTGTAGTTATTTTTAAGAAATGTGGGTTGTGATTCCTGAAAGTTATGTCCATTCTCTCTGAAAAACCCCACCTTCGTTTCATCTTGGCAATCTGGAAGGCCTGCCCAAGTACAATGGTCAATGAGCATAGTCCTGCTATGCCCATTGTCTCTGCGTCTGCTCCCATTCCCACCATAAACGAACCCACAAAGGATATGGATTCAGAGCATGGGAACCCCATGAGCAGGGAAGCCCACTTTAATGAACGCTGTCTTCTTGGGAGGATTGAGATTTAGGTCTAGGATGAACCATTTAAGATGTCTGCATCAAGTAAACCAAGATGAGACTGTTTGCAGTTGTCCACTGTAGTTGTCTAATGATATCTATGATATGATTACTCATGGAATCTAAGTCTCCATAGTGAACCAGCAGAGAAGCACAAGCATTTGCTGACCAGATAATCTGGAGAAGGATTCAGCTCACTGTGAAGTAGAAGCCACAGATTGCACTTCTCCTCCTTGCAATGCGGGATTTTCCACGTGCTATGGGTTGTTGTAGGAGAAACAGTGGAAAAGGAGAATCCTGAACCATCAATAAAGAGATATCAAATCACAAAGGAAAAAAGAAAACACGACTTACCACAGAGACATGCAAGGAGGACAAGCTTCATGTTGGTAGCACAGAGACTGCGCTCTGTGTGTCAACAAGAAGGGACGCCAGGAGAGGAGATGGGACCTGCATCCAAGGGACGGGGTATTTGACAATTCCTCTAGGTCCTGACCCCTCCCCTCCATCCCCAAAGGTCCCTCTGTGCCCCATGGCAGGTACAAAAATCCAGACCTCTGCCAGGAAGTGACCGCCTCGCTGTGGGCTCTGGCATCACGTAGGCCGTGGGGTTGTGAAACCGAGCTGTTCCTGGAACCTGCTGAGCAAACAGGACATCTCAGGACAGCTGGTTCTGGACCAGAGGATAGACAGGATATTGCAAGTCATCCTCCAGGGCTGGTTTCTGGTAAATGCAGATCAGTATCAAGGATTATCCGGGAAAATGAATTTGATTCCACCCCCCTAAAGCTGACAGGAGACAGCTGCAAGCCAAAACCTCCCTATCGGGACCCAAAATCCAGTCTTGCTCTGCTTCTGGAGCCACAGGTCTGCAGGGCTGCCAGGGACCAGAAGTAGAAGGAAGGGAGGGAAGGGTTGCTTGTCCCACCATCCTGGAGCATCTTGTGCCACCATCCTGGAGCATCTTGTGCCACCGTCCTGGAGCAATGATTAACGAAAGCCAAAGTCCATTAGTCAACCCGTTCCCAAGTCGGGATGGGCATGGATGGGTTGTGGAGAGCACACCTAAGTCTACACAAGCCTTCTTGGGAGGATTTGCCCTTCACTTCCACTGTAAGAACTCTACTTCCCTCAGCTTTCCTGATGAGTTTCTCACTTCTTCTCCAAATATAATATTAAACCTCCACTAAGAACCCATTGCAGCTTCTCTATTTCTTCACATTTCCCTTTAATACTACAATTAACATGGAGAAGTTCATGAAGGGAGAATGCAGGGAAGAAGGGGCCAAGCTCTTCTCAGTGGTGGCCAGGGACAGGACAAGGGGCAATGGGTGGAAGTTGAACCCCAGGCAGCTCCATCTCCAGGTGAGGAGGAACTTCTGCACTGGGAGGGTGCCCGAGCCCTGGACCAGGCTGCCCAGGGAGGCTGGGGAGTCTCCTTCTCTGGAGGTCTCCAAACCCACCTGGACGCCGCCCTGTGCCCCGTGCTCTGGGTGTCCCTGCTGGAGCAGGGAGGTTGGACTAGATGATCTCCAGAGGTCCCTTCCAACCTTGAATCTTCTGGGATTCTGTGAATTCTTGCACCTCATCTGAAAAGATGAGGTGCCCCCATGGCCACCCCAGCTTGCCTGCTGACTTGACCTTCTTGGTGGGTTATTCTGAAGACCTTTTCTCCTACATCAAACTGTGCTGAGAAGGGGTCATGAAAATATTTCCTCCTCAAAAAGCAAGGGGACACAAGTGAGTGCAGAGGAAAGGATAAATTCAGTGAATCTGCTTGGGTCACTAAAAAAAGAAGAGATGCTGCTTCATCAAAGAAGGATGGAGCAGATATTCCCCTTTTTCATTAAAAATTCTCATGTCTACATTACAGGATGTGATGTTCGTATTGCCATTAGGAACAAGCAAAGCCCAATTAATACTACCCTGTAATCGTGTGTGAAATTAAAGGGAGATCTTAATGTTCCCCTGGGAATGTATGCAGCTCAGAGCTCCATTTTATTTCAAAAACAGAGTTATTTTGGTAATTTATATAACAGAAACAGTTGTCAAAAGTCATCAAAAGGTTATCAGAAAGGCTGAAAAAAAGAAATCACGCCGTGTGTATGAAGAGTGTTTAAGAAGTAGTAAATATTGACCTTCTGTATGGCATGGAACTTCTTTTTTCTTTCTTTTTTTTTTTTTTTTTTTTTTTTTTTTTTTTTTTGGAGAAATAGCCAGTGGTTTTTCCATGAGATCACGTGTTGTTTTCAAAGCAAACACGAGATAAGAGACGATGAAGAAATGTTTGAACACTTCAGAGTGGAATGTGATCTGGCCACAAGTATTCCTTTAGCAGCGGATGTGAGAACTAAAATTAACCCTTGAGAATGTCTGTCCTGTTCATTATTTCAATTTAAAACTAATTATTAGCAAAACACTTTGAAAAGAATAATATTTTTTCAAAGTGAAAAGCTGCCTTATTTCATGAGGCAAAAAGAGGAACTGTTCCTTTTCATGTTCTTCTTTGTTTTTTTTAGTACTTCCTAACATAACTTTTATTGCAAATAATTTTCTGGAATTTACCATAAATTAACAGAATTTATTGTTTTTTTTTTCACTGAAAAAGATTTTTCAAGGCTATTTTTGTTCTATTCAAGATAGTATTTACAGCCAAAGGAAGACAGGACAAGATATATCTTGTACAACAACTTTGCAAGTGCATTTCCATGTAATTTCTGCTGAATGTGCAGTTTTCTCACAGAGCAAAAACCAGACAAAAAAAGGGGGGAAAGCTGGTCAATATCAGAATAAGTCAAAAACAGCCATTTTTGAGAGTAGATTGAAAGAAAAAAAAACAGAGAGAGAGAGGATTAAGGCTTTTTAAGAGTCAAATTAGAGCTCCCATTAAAGTTTAACAAAGCCTAAATCAGGAAAGAAGGCATGCCGAAATTATTCCCTATATCCAGCCTTTGTACCAAGCTAAAAGCTCAAGGAAAAAACCCCCAAATATTATCAACATTTATATTTTTATTGCAGTCCAAGTAGGTATCTAAACTTCTTAGACCTAAAAGAAAAATATCTAGTGTTTCATATGCAACAGGTAATAGTTGGGGCAGCTTAAACTGTACAGTACACACAATCAAGTTTTCTAACTCCAAAAGGTAAATATATTACCCTAAATAATTACAGTTAGGTAAAAATTATATACATTGGTATTTCTGTATTGCTACTTAAAAAGCTAGGTAGCAGTCTATTTTTAAATACGTAATAATTTCACTGAAATGCATGAAAATACTGCTTAGTTACTTAAAAGAGAGAGAAAATGAAAAAATACATTCAATTTTAAATATTTTAAATTTTACTTACAGAAAAAAACCGCTTTTTATAGCTCTAAGGAAAAAGAAAAGGATTTTAAATTGCAGTCAGGATATTTATGTTTTTAAAATTATTTTAAAGATCGTCAATTATTTGGCAAAGATTTTTTTGGAGGATTTTGTTTTTCACTTATCTCCCCTAAAGGTTACATATTTTCTCCTTTGCGTAACAGTGACTGGAAATAAGAGATACCAAGGGATGACTTTTTTCCAGCGTAGATCAGCTTCACAGAATCATGGAATCATGATGGTTGGCAAAGACCTTCAAGATCATCGAGTCCAACTGTAACCTGCCCAACGCCATGCCTGCTAGACCATATCTCAGCACCTTATCTACACGTGTCTTGAACCACCCTCCACCACCTCCCTGGGCAGTCTGCTCCAGGGCTTCACCACGTTTTCCGTGTAGAAATTCTTCCTCATGTCCAACCTGAACCTCCCTTGGTGCAACTTGAGGCCATTTCCTCGTGTCCTATCAATAGTTATTCTGGAGAAGAGACTGACCTTCTCCTCACTGCAACCTCCTTTCAGGTAGTTGTAGAGGGGCAATAGGGTCAACCTTGTCTCCTTGCCTCCACACTAAATAACCCCTCACAAAGTCTCTTCTCCAGACCCTTCACCAGCTTAGTTGCCCTTCTTTGGAGACACTCAAGCATAAGTCTCCAGCCACTTTGCCCCAAGCCTGTAGCCCTGCATGGGGTTGTTGGGACCAACGTGCAGGACCCAGCACTCAACCTTATTGAACCTCCTCCACCCATCAACCCAACCTGTCCAGATCCCTCCTTTCCTACCCTCAAGCAGATCAACTCTTCCACCTTGGGGTCATCTGCAGATTTCCCTGAGTCCTCTCCGGAGATACTCCAGAGGTGCTTGTCAGATGTCCACTGTTTTGGGAATCGATTCCCTGCTGATTCCCCAGGGAATATACAGCTATCTTGTATGCAAGTGTGAAGATTTCAGGTGGTTATATGTGTTTTGAGGTGCAAACTTAGGCTGGATAGCACGATGCTCCTCTGCTGGAATGAGTCCCAAAGAATCCATGTCATCATGTGCAAACCTGCAGCAATTGCCCCAAAAACAGATGCTCACAGGGTCCTCAGTAGACCTCAAATTACACTGCCTAGATAGACAAGTATTGATAGAAATGGTCCAAACAAACTGGGGAGACAAGAAGTCACTTGAACTGGCTTGGAAGTTTAGGATAGGAGACCTCAAGAAGCCTCCTCCTTCCTTCACCTCTTCTGGCTGCGGTTTGCTTCTGGTTTTTGTTTTGTTTTGTTCTAATTTGGATTTTCGAACAGTTCCTGCTGATATATTCCTGTTATTCCCCATGGGTACAGCTTCAAGTGACTTTGTACCTTCTTGTTTGCTTTGCTTCTTGGTAAAATTAATATGAACAGCGGGATTATCCCCAGGTTCTTTGGATCACCTGCAGCCCTTTTAAACAATTAAACATTTCCGCGTCCTACCCATGTGTCATGAAACCTAGCTTAAGAGGCTTGCTACACAAAGCAGGTAATTTTACATTTAAACTCCTCAAAAAGGTTTGCGTAAGTGTTAATGGGGCGTATCTATTTTATTGGTTTAGTCTAAGTCTTATATTTGCCGTGGCACACAGCAGCTGCCAGGACTTGCTTTGCTAGGGGAAGCCTCATTAGCAGGAACATCTCAGAAGCTTCTCCACAGTGAATGCTCAGGGCCAGTTTCGTTAGGAGCGTCACGGCCAACAAAATCACTTGGGAATTTAAAAATAGCGTGTCAAAAACATGTTCACATGTGAAAATAGCATGTGAAAATACGTTCAAGTGACATCAGTTGCCTCCCTCCTAAGAAAACTGATGTGGGGGTTATTCCACCTGGAGAAGACACTATCTGGAGAACACTCCAAAGAAGCAATCTTAAAACATGCCATTTACATCTAGCTTCTAGCGCCTTCTCATAGATATTTCAGGTATAAATTACTAAAACTGACGGCTGTGCATTGCATTGTGAAATTTGTATTGGCTACACATGTCTCTACGTGTCTCGTCATGAGGGCATCATCAGCACCTGGTGGTATTCTAACGACAAATTTGCAAATACCCTGTCAAATCTGCCCTTTTTATTTGCAGGTTGGAGGGCCCTGTAGTTAAAGAGTGAGATGGGGTTGACTTAAGTCAATTTTAAGTCAATTTTAAGTCAATTTTAAGTACGTCAGCCAGTTTCTGTTGACAAAAAACACTCCGACATCAGTCATGTCAGTTCTCAGCCTCAATCAACAAAGAACGAGGGACATTTCTATTTCTGCCAATTTATTTTTTTCCATATGACTGCAGATCTCCACTTTGTGTCTCTGTGTCTCCAAGGAGTCTTCAAAAAACACAGAGAGAATCATCCAGTGGTCTCCAGCGCTGGTGTTTCGCACCTATCCATCCAAGAAGGACAGGTGATGAGTGATTCATCCTTGCTGATGGACAACAAGAAAAGATCTTCATAAATTTATGGGGGAGCTGAGGTTTCTTCCAAAACTTCCAAGTCAAGGGAGTTCCTGGCACTGAGATGCATGTGTTTTTAAGCAACATGGGCATGGGAGTTGGTGTGCAGCAATCTTGGTTGGCTACGTTCTTCAAAAAAATCCATCACAAAGACGCCCATGTCTTTGACATGCCACATCTTCCAAAAACATCTTCCACAACCCCCAGTCTTCCTCGTGCTGCGTCTGTCTTCAACATTAACGTTTTTCAATTAAGCTGAATATGAAAATATTCCAGAATCCTTGCAGATTCACCCCAGTTGGGCTATGAGCCCCTTTGCCTCTCCTTTGGACCCCTCTGTCCCGATTTCTCCAAAGCTGTTGGGCGGGGAAACGAAATAAATTTACTTCTATCTTTGAGGCAGGGAGAAGAAAATTTGTCCCTCCCCCGGACTTCCTACTTCACTGGCAGTGAATAAATGTGGCCGCGGACGGACACCAAGGGGCATCTTCTCGGTAGCAGCAGCAGCAAAAAGGAGCTCCAAAGGACGTGCAGAAGATGCCACTGAAGTTTATCAGCCTGCTCTGGGGAGCACTTGCTCTGCCTCTGTGCTTGGCTGACACAGGTAATTCCTGAACATTCCCTCTTTTCAGGCCAGCCATCTGCACCGGGGTACCTGGGCCAGGTAGAACCCATTTGGATAGATCTTTGGGTAGAAGACGTTTTGGTGGCTTTTATTCCCTTGTCTGTAAGAGGAGTTTGTCAGCAGCTGGTGGTAAGTACTGATGAAAAACAATCTAAATTTGTGTCCCACTATGTGTCTGTCCCCAGATGAGAGAGTTGAGGCACTGCTTCTTATCTACACCAGCTGGAAACCCTTTAAATCCCGAGTTCCTTGCAGTTTCTCAGCATTCCGAGTGTCCAGCTGTGTCCCACAGAAGGATCTCCTTGGTTACCTTCATGATCTGCAGAAGAACTTCTTTCCTTCAGCGTAGTTGGTGCTCTTCTTCCTTTAGCAAGGTTGATCTTTGCTGGGGGGGTCTGATCCTTCATCTCTTCTTGTTTGGTTCCAAGGTGGGGAGTTCTCCCCTTGTGTCTTCCCCTTCATCTACAAGGGGAAAACCTACACCTCCTGCACCAAGGTTGACAGCAGCAAGGAAATTCCCTGGTGTGCCACGACAAGCAACTATGATCAGAATGCCAAATGGAAGTACTGCAGCTCTCAAGGTGAGTGCTGGACCTTGTCCTTGGAGTATCTCTCCTTTTTAGAACTACCATGGTGGGGATAGAAAGCCACACCATCCAAACAGCCTCAGAATCACAGAACCACAGAATATTCAAGGTTGAAGGGACCTCTAGAGATCGAGTCCAACCTCCCTGCTCCAGCAGGGACACCCTGAGCATGGGGCACAGGGTGGCGTCCAGGTGGGTTTGGAGACCTCCACAGAAGGAGACTCCCCAGCCTCCCTGGGCAGCCTGGTCCAGGGCTCGGGCACCCTCCCAGTGCAGAAGTTCCTCCTCACCTGGAGATGGAACCTCCTGGGTTTCAACTTCCACCCATTGCCCCTTGTCCTGTCACTGGCCACCAATGAGAAGAGCTTGGCCCCTTCCTCCCTACATTCCCCCTTCATGAACTTATGCCTCGTGAAACCAAGAAACGAGCCTTTGTCGAATTTGTCAGTGAGTTCAGGGAAGTTTATTGGCAGAATTTTCCTCAGCTTTGGAGATCTATCTCTGGTCCCTCCTTTTAGAAACCGTAGGAAAAGCAGGTGCTTCCAGGGAATGACTGATGGGTTATGAATGCAGGTGACTGTAGTCATGTAGACCATGGCTGTCCCTCTGGGTTATTATCCGTGGTTATTATCCTCCAGGCATGGAAGACTTGCAAATCTGACCTAAGCAAGCCTCGCTTCTGTACTACCCATGGGACAGCAAAAGCTTCACAGAGAAGTTCATGGAGAGTTCCTTTAGGCCAGGATCAGGCTCAGATCTCTCCTTGGAGATACCAGAGCCAGTCTAGAGGGCTTTAGACATCCATATACTGGAAACAGATTTGGGGCTGCATCTATTTGTTTAGGTCCTCACATGCACACAGCTCTTTTACCTTGACTTTGGAAGACATTAGCTCTCCGGGGAAGGGTGTTCTCCAGGAGAAAAGTTCTCCGAGGCTCCAAGCACTGTCCTTACTGTGTCTTTTCCTCTCCTCACAGAGTATGGGGGCAGCTCAGGTGGCCAGCCCTGCTTTTTCCCTTTTATATACAAGGAGCGCATCTTTTACACCTGCACGAACGAGAACACTCCCAACGGGCGATTCTGGTGTGCCACCACAGACAACTATGACCGTGACCTACGCTGGAGCTACTGCGCTGACATGTGTGAGTGCAACGGCCCATGCCACCTTCCCGTCCTGAACATTGCTGAATATCTCTAGCACTGACGGTTTTCTACCCTCTCCTAGTGTTGAGCACAGACCCAAAGGGACCCTGCGTCTTCCCGTTCACCTACAAAGGTCAGACCTACAGCTCCTGCACCACGGAAGGGTCATCCAAAGGGCTTCTGTGGTGCTCTCTGAGCAGCAATTACGATACGGATCCCAAGTGGACATACTGCCAAGCTTCTGGTAAGGATATGGGGAGTTACAGAGAAAATTCACCCGGGGGTCTGGTAGGATCAGGCCTGGAGCTAAAGCAAGCTTGGCCTTGGTGGTCACCCTCACCTCCACCAGCAGTACCTGAGACAACGGGGAAATGTAGGGGTGAGACGCACGTTTCCTACTGAAGGGAAGGAAAAAGGAAGGCAAAATATCCTAAGAATATTCAACATGCATGAAGAGAGAGGAGAAAATATTTAAAAGCAGTTTCATTTCCACAGTTGTTATCTTGATTAGCTGATCAGGGAGGTGCTGGTGAAGGCCTAAAAAATGAAGAAAATGTTTAACATTCATTTTAAAAAACATTGAGACTCTTCTCTCAATGCCACATGATGAGGATGACCAACTCAGGTGATAATGATACTAGGAAAAATGGTTTATCAGTTCCAGGCTTGGTGCCTCATTGACTGAGCATGGAGGATGTTGAGCGTCCTGATGGACATGGGGCTTGGACACTGACCGGAGGCAGTGGGGATTAGTGGGAAGAGTCAAAAACCATTCCCTGACACAACCTCAAAGGCAAAGCCCATTCTCTTGTTCCTACTCAACCAAATCTTCTTTTCCATCTCAACCTTCGCCCTACTAGTGTCGGGTACGAACAGTGGGAACCTCCCTTGTGTCTTCCCCTTCAAATACAAAGACAAGCTGCACTATGGCTGCACAAACGTTGACTCAAGATCTGGCGAGTACTGGTGCTCCTCCACCAGCGACTATGACAGCAAGTGGCACTACTGTTCCATGTCAGGTAAGAGATAGGAGAAGAGGGCAACCTCGTGGTGCTCTGTCACATGGTGCAAGGAGGACAGAAGAGTGAAGGGTTCTGGTCATTTTTGGTGGGAGTGGATGGGCTTTACTATAATTTCTAGTGGGAATTGACTCCTCCGGGGTCATTTCTGGTGTTTGAAGAACGGCTTAGTGCCTACAGACAAATGATGGTAAAGTTCTAACCCAGCAGACAAAAAAATAAGATAAAAACAATTCTGTGCTGGGAACTACTGCCCATTGGCACTAAGGGTGGGATTTATTACACAACTTCACGTTAGACATCTAGACTGCTCCCACAGATAGCAGGAGAGAGCAAACATCTCTGAGTGGGAGGCACCTGACCTAGGTGGAACATCTGCTTTCAAATGAGAGGGAATTTTATTCAGATTAATCCATTCTATCTGCAAGAATTAGTGACATTCCCAGCGATATTCTCCTCCAAATACATTCCTAGCTCCTTCTGAAACTCGTGATTTCATGAGTTCCTTCTGAAACTCATGAGCTCCTTCATGAGTTTCATGAGTTCCTTCATGAAACCCATCTATAACATCCTTTATCGAGGGCTTCCACAGGTATACTGCACGACATACAGAGAAACCTCTTTGATGTTTTCAGCCTTGTTGCTTCAAGTTTCTCTCATTGGCAAATGTTTTTTACTCTGAATTTAGACAAATGAGGCAAAAAAAAAAAAAACAAGAAAATATGAATTAAAAAAGGTGGATTATTTTTCCCCTCGCCAACACTTTTATTCATTCTTGAGCTTACACTCTTCTTGCTCTTCTTCGTATCTCTAGAGTATGGAGGAAATTCCAATGGTGGAAAATGTGTTTTTCCCTTCATCTATGACCAGAAGTTATTTTACGGCTGCATCAAAACAAATGAAGATGAGAATCCGTGGTGTGCCGCAACAGGCAATTATGACCAACATAAACTGTGGAGTTACTGCCCTGAAATGTGTAAATATCTCCTTCTCTTTGTTCTCCTCCCAGTAAAAATACAGATTAAATATGTAAGAGTTGGGTAACACCTGCTGGACATCAGTCAATATTCAGTAGGGGGAAAATAAGAGTGATGCAGGTGAGGAGAAGACATTAACTCTAGGAAAAATAAAGTTATTAGAAGTTATGCAAAGACTAAAGGTTGTCTTTAATGTTGTCTTTTGATCTCACTCTGCAAGAATGGAGAGGGAAACTGTTTTAACTGCTTTACCAGGAGATTTGTGGGGAGTTACCTAACTTATGTTCCCCTGTGAATTAACCTTGGTGTCTTCGGGTTGTTCTGCAGATACGTCCTGGACTAACACGGAGTCCCAATGTGTGTTCCCGTTTATTTACAAGGGGGAGTCGTACGATTCCTGCATCCAAAATGAGATGCTGCCTGGAAAATTCTGGTGTGCTACAACGAGCAACTATGACCAGCACAAAACGTGGTCCTTGTGCTCCTACACAGGTAGGGTGGCAGGCCCTCCATAAGCATCTTTGGGACATCAGAACGGGACCTATCATAGGTTCATTAGTCCAACCCTTGGTGGACTCAAAACTCAGCAATTGGGTGAGATCTGGCCATGTGGAGCCACCCAACAGCACCCTCCTATTCCACAGCTGCAGCCCCAGGTTTGGGAAACTTGGAAGTAATTAAGGAAAAAGAAAGGAAAGGAAGGAAAAAACTCTAAATATGTGATCCTGGAAGGCAACCCAAAGGAAAACAGGCCTTGGAAAGCCCTTAGGCTTAGCCCAAAGGAAAAATCACTGGAAAGCAGGCCTTACACTTCAGTCTTCAGGGAGTGCATGAGTGTTATTGAAACGCCCATCTGGGGATGTTCAGAGGAACATGTTCAGAGGACGCTGAGAGACATGAAAATTGAAAATTAAGGATGAGGTTGCAGAAAAGAACTCACCCAGGCTGAAACTTAGTACCAGTCTGCAACTTGGTTGGTCACTGCAACACAAGTAGTTTCCATTTGATTATGAGTACGGCTCTAGAGGCAAAAGGTCTGATCTTTTCTGTCCTGGATCAAAACCTCTCCTTGGTGCAGGGTATGGAGATACTTAAGCCGGAGAGAAGGATGCCTCTCTAATCCTCCTCTAAGTCTCTTTCAGTTGGGAAGGGCGGGTGTTAATTTGTGCTTCATCAGCAGCTCCTTGCAGACACACTGTGAGCACTAAGGCCACTTTTAGCACGTAGCAGAACAAGCCGGTTCTGCAAAGAGGATGACTAAGTCCTAGATGTTCAACCTCACCTCCTGCAACAGAAAAACCCAGCACAGAGAGGCTCAGCACCAAGCCGAGCTTAGGGCGTGACGTGGGCAGGATCTCAGGACCTGTACCCTTCTCTCCCCCAGGTCCAGGCCATTTCTCGGAGCAATCCTGTGTCTTCCCTTTCACCTACCGGGGCAAACAATTCCATGAATGCACCAGCCTGAACGAGAAAAACGGGAAGCTCTGGTGTTCCACGACTGACAACTATGACAGGGACTACAAATGGAACTTCTGTCCGTCCTGATGCAGAGGAAGGGTGAAAAAGGGAATGGCCCGTGTCCCTCCGCTTGGCACTGCCTGTAGTATCGTCTAACCGATCCCGTCTCCTGCTGCTCAGCTTCATGCAATGCATTTAATCTCAGTTGCTTTGACCGCATTTTATCAGCTTTTCAATAAATGCCAAGTCTCAGAATCCATCCTGTCACTGGGGTCACTTTGATCACGCGCGTACGTGTGCCTGCAGGAAGGAGAAGCGCCCACAGCTGGAAAATCCACGTGTGTCTCTCAAAATAAGCCAGGATCCCCACGGGAAGCTTTTGCTCTCTCAATGTCCAGGTGAATTTTGCCCAGATGGCAATTTGTTTCGAATTCACTTTGCCCAGCTCCATCAGAGGAATCACCACCTCTCTTAGGCCTATTAATTAGGCCTATTACTTGGCCTAATTTTATTACTAATTACTATTTTATTGTATTTTATTACTAATTATTCTTACTGATTTTATTACTAATATTACTACCTAATTAGGCCTATTAATTGGCCTAATTTCAATACTTTGTGTCGCAGGGAATAGGGATGACCAAGGAGAGGGGGAATGCAGTCAGAAGACACCCAATATTTATCAATTATTTATAAAATTTACAAAATTTATAAGTTTGCTGTCTGACATGGGCATGGTTTGAGGTATCCCAAAGCAATTGCAACAGTAACATCAAGGATCACCACAAGAGATGAAGCATTAACGGAAAAGTTAGAAATATTGTGAGAATCCCCAAAATGTGGTGCAGAGGCGCAAAATTGAGCGTAGGCAGCTTGAAAACCAGCACTGAAAAATGACACACAAGGTTACCAAAAACTTCAATTTTAAAAAACACAGGACCTGCAAAGCGCAGTAAAGCAAAATATAATAAAATTTAAGTCATGCCTGTAATCTGGCGAGTAAGCGCTATCCGCTCCGCCGAACGCAAACACAAATACTCATTTCCTTATTTGCCCCCCTTTACCAAAAAAGAAGATGCCACCACAGGAAGCGGGACACTGAAATCACACAGGCCTGTGGCCAGAAGTGCTGCCCGCAGACCTGGACATCGGAAGATACTTCCTGCCTTGACTGGGCAGCTCTGGCTGCCCGATTCCTCCCTACTCTTTCGCTCTACTTGGTAGGGTAGAAGGAAGAAAGGCGGGAAGAAACATGGGAAGAAACGGCCCATATAGGGACAGGTCCCAAATTGCGGACACTTCTCTGGTTTTGGTGCTCCTCAAGTCCCAGGTTTCTTCTGACAGGGACAGCGAGGGACGTTTTAGGGCTGTTCCTATGGGAGATGTAAGCCAACACCATGTCATCACCACCTGCTGCGGGGATGGCTTAGTAGGGCATCCCATGGGAACGTCCATACGCCATCTATAGTCCTACATCCTCATGCCCAACATGGGAACCACCTCCGTCCCCTCCACAGGGCATGAGGCTGCAGGGCTATAGATGGGGTATGGAGGCTCCCTCGGGATGCCCTACCAAGCCATCCCCGCAGCAGGTGGTGATCATGGTGTGTTGGGTTACATCTCCCATAGGAACAGCCCTATAATGTCCCTAGCTGGCCCAGGGGCCCTGGATAGGAGAAAGGACCCTGGGAAGGAGGCATCTCGCCTGACTGCAGAGGGACGGTGAAAGAGGATGGTGACAGGAGCTTGGCGGAGGCACCACCAGGGACGGGAAGTGCTGAAACGTCATCTGCCAACGTCACTGCCACCGACTGCGGCTGCAAAACCACAGCCCTGGGCAACGGCCACCCACGTGTCCTCACAGCCCCCCTCCGGCTTACGTGCTGGCCCAAAGGTGGACTTCTCACCTTGTGTGGCCATGAGCTCCAGCACAGGGCCCTGGGGACCGTCCCCAGGACAGAGCTGGGACGCCCAGCATCTCAGTGTCCAAAGGGAGACGTGATTTGGGCCCCCTCCCCGTCAGCCCAGAGCCCGGGGCGGTTCCTCATTCGGACACCGGACGCGGCACGGCTGGACTCACCCTGTCATGGTCTCCATCCTTGTCCTCGGTAAGTTCCTTGGGAGAAAAGAGCAGGGCGGGTTGGTTCTGGCTGTAGGTCTGTCCTTGATGGGCTGTGTGTCCTCCGCAGGCTGGTGGCTGGTGCTCCAGAGCAGCGGGCAAGCACGTGAGTACGGGCATGGGATGGGGACCCTTCTCCAAAGCCGTCTCCACGGGGGTCCTGGCCACCCTCTGCAACCCACAGGACCTGGCTACGGGCACCTGCCACCACGTCCTTTGGGTCACCAGAGGGAAGACCAGGACATGCAGTGGAGGAGAAAGGAAGGAGGTGTCAGGCTCTCCAAGGAGCGGCTTTCCTCAGCTCCTTCTTCTCTCCCTCACCCCAGAGCCGAGACCATCGCTGTCCCTGAGCCCCAGCCACGAGGTGGCCCTGAGGGACAGGGTGACCCTGCAGTGCCACGTAGCCGGACACAACGGCAGGGCCACCCTGCACAAAGAAGGGGTCCCCCACCCGCTGCGGTACCGGGACGTGGTGCAGGGCGCAGCCGAGTTCCCCATCCCAGCAGCCAGGCGGGAGGACGCTGGGAGATACTGGTGCCGCCACGAGACGAAGGGTGGAAGGTCAGAGGAGAGCGAGCGTGTGGAGCTGGTGCTCAGAGGTGAGAGCTGGAGCTCAGCACCACATGGGGAAGGGTCTAGGGGACCAGGGGAGAAGGGTCTAGGGGACCAGGGGAAAGGGTCTAGGGGACCAGGGGAGAAGGGTCTAGGGGACCAGGGGAAAGG